TTCCCTACAAATTATTCTTTAATAATTTTAGCAATACATAATAAATAGATTTTAATTAAATTAATTAGAAAAATAGATATATAGTATTGAATTCGAATCTACACCATTTCTATGTAATAAAAGACACGAAACCACACGACCACATGAGCCGTGGCAATTCAGATTTACATATAATTATATATAATATATAGTTTCCTTTTGTCGAGCTAAAATGAGATGAATACGATCGAACAAAGGATTGTTCGGGTTCATTCATTTATAATTCGAGCTTAAAAGTTTTGTCTGTATTTGACTCTCTCAGTTAACGAAAGATTTCAACACAAGCTATTTACCGAGCCGAATGTGACCTATTTCGTGAACAATGAGCTTTATTGACGGACTTAACAGTCTAATTATTATCAAAGTTTTTTTTTATGTATTGTGCTGACAAGCTATTTACCCCATGGTTGTGATTTTTATTTTCGTAGCTTTTCCCGTATACAGACTACATAGGCTTCGTTTGAGGGAGCTTCAACCTTCAAAAAATCTCCTTTAAAGCCATCTGCGAATAAACAAGGCTATAAAGTGGTGGCGGTTGAGTTCAACACTGTCGTTTGGACAAAATTTTTTTTGTGCTTCCTAACATTATTAATAACAATTTTATAAATAATTTTAGAGGACATAGTATAGGGCATTTTCGATATTCGATTTGTAAAACAAGAGAACAGACATTGTCATCTACGATCTGAAATGGTGAAGAAATGATGACATTCAGTTGAAAACAAAACACCGCTGATGTTACTGTACCAAACGAAAGCGAATCCACACGTCGGCATTCTCTGCAACAGAACAGAGCTTTACCGCCTTCCGAGCTTTACCGCCTTCTCGAACGAGTATAATAAATGCAAAATTGTGTACTATTTGGATGGTTCGACTCAAAAGTTATGTCTGATGGTTGACTCGATGGTGTTACGTGAACAAAGATTATGAAGCATGCATCTTGAAATACGTGTAGGGTAAGAGGAGTTCTTGCTTGATCCTGAAGAGAAGGATTTACATGTATATCACCCAATTACCATGTTTTTATACATTTTACACTTAAAATTCAATTTTAACATATATGACACATCATCTATGCAACTAGGATATTCACTTTTGAAAAAACAGAACGAAGTTCTACGGAAGCTGAACGAAAATTGTCATCCATCTCAAACGATGAATAAACGACATCATTCGATCAAAACAAATTCAAAAAATCTCCTTTAAAGCCATCTGCGAATAAACAAGGCTATAAAGTGGTGGCGGTTGAGTTCAACACTGTCGTTTGGACAAAATTTTTTTTGTGCTTCCTAACATTATTAATAACAATTTTATAAATAATTTTAGAGGACATAGTATAGGGCATTTTCGATATTCGATTTGTAAAACAAGAGAACAGACATTGTCATCTACGATCTGAAATGGTGAAGAAATGATGACATTCAGTTGAAAACAAAACACCGCTGATGTTGTTGTACCAAACGAAAGCGAATCCACACGTTGGCATTCTCTGCAACATAACAGAGCTTTACCGCCTTCTCGAACGAGTATAATAAATGCAAAATTGTGTACTATTTGGATGGTTCGACTCAAAAGTTATGTCTGATGGTTGACTCGATGGTGTTACGTAAACAAAGATTATGAAGCATGCATCTTGAAATACGTGTAGGGTAAGAGGAGTTCTTGCTTGATCCTGAAGAGAAGGATTTACATGTAACTTTTACATATATACATACATACAAACCTACCACCAAATAGAGTTGATCATACATCATTTTCAACCTTTGAGACTCCTTACTTTCCATCTCAACTAATTTTTCCTTCAAAATGTCTTGGTTTATAAAAAAATTATATACATACCACACAATTCTTCTATATTTATATATATTAACACCTAAAATTTGATATTTGCACTTATCATACTATAGTTTCATATAAACTTATGCATGAAAATTCATATTACACTCTTATTAGGATAGTCATGATCCTATTTCTCAATCGATATCAAGATATCAATATATTCATGTAGATATGTGCATGAATCTTTGTACAATCATTTATACAAATACCGTTGTACAAGAAATCCGCATGCCTGCGTAATATTCTCTGGAAAAAAAAAGAAAAAAAAATGCATTATGCAATTTTTGTATTCTCATAAATCTTTTTTCTAAATGAAAATGTTCATTATTTTAATATATAATATATTATAACAATTTATTATAGTTAAAATAAATTATCAAATTATGACACTTAACCTTCTCTCTCTCTCTATTTAAAGCCAACTAAACCAATCCACAGAGCCAGGAGGAAGAGAGAGAGAGAGAGAGAGAGAGAGAGAGAGAGAGAGATGAAGTCAGACGCAGTGCAGACTCCCCATGCAGTATGCATCCCCTTCCCAGCACAAGGCCACATAAACCCCATGCTTAAATTAGCCAAACTCCTCCACTCCTACAACTTCCACATAACCTTTGTCCTCACCGATTACAACTACACGCGCCTGGCTCGATCACAGGGCCGAGACTCCTTCGACTTCCTCCCCGATTTCCGCTTCGAATCCATCCCCGACGGTCTCCCCATCTCGTCCGACGACGACGATGATTCCACGCAGGACATCCCCTCTCTCTGCGACTCCACTGCTAAGAACTGCTTGGCTCCCTTCCGGCGCCTTATCTCTAAACTCAATGATGACGACGGAGCTCCCGCCGTATCTTGTATTGTGTCTGATGGCGCCATGAGCTTCACCATCGACGCCGCGAATGAGCTCGGCGTACCGAACGTGTTCTTGTGGACGTCGAGTGCTAGTGGCTATCTCGCCTTTCAGCACTATCGTCATCTGGTTGAACGTGGCATCATTCCTCTCAAAGGTAGCTAGGGTTTATGCTCATAATTATGAGAAAATATTGTCTCTAGCCAATACCGAAGCGACATGGCTTGTGGATGAGGTGTATGTCGAGCTGCCGCCCGACGAATCCGGACGTCAATATTTCCTCCATAATTAAACACCATAGAGCTCATATTTTTCATAGTTAATTTTAAGTTGACTTTTTATAAAGATAATGTGAAAAAATTATCTAGTGTTAGTTTAACAAATAAGCATAAGAGATAGTTTAGAAAAATGCATAATTAGATAGAGACATATTGAAATATTGATATTTATAAATTAAGCACTCATATGATTTTTTACGAACCATCGAACCGATGTATTTACATGTGTCACGGTCAAACAATAGACAGTTTGATAAACATGAAAAATATGGGTTGGAATTTTACCGTAAATTTTGATATTTTAGTGAGAATTTAAAAAAAATAAATGAAAGAAGATGGTTAATTTGTAAATAATAAGTTTTTGGGTAATCTATACGTAATTGCCCCCACAAAAGATAATTATTTTGTATTTACACATCTAAAATTTGATATTTACATTCATAATAAGATGTATTTTACGCTTTAAAGTTAATAACAATGATATTTTTGACATGATATTAAAGACTAAGGTGCTATGTATGTAAATATGAAAGATATAAGGGTAAGATATGTAAATACATAAGCATTTGGGGCATTTATCTCATGGTTTATTTGTTCGTGTGATTGAGATTTATTCAATGAGTCAAAATTTATTATTTTGTTATATACTTGTAGTTCAATAAATAAGCTAAAATCTGTTCTTTAATTATATTATCATAGATAATGTAAAATATGCAATGAAATAGTTACAATTAACATTATTCTATTTGCAGATTTGTCCGATCTCACAAACGGCTACTTGGACCTTGAGATAGATTGGATTCCCGGACTGATGAAAGGGATGAAGCTGAAAGATTTTCCGAGCCTGATACGCACGACGGACGCCGACGACGTCCTGTTGAACTACCTGATCAGCGAGATGGACAGAGCCGCCATGGCCACCGCCATCGTCTTCAACACCTTCGATGATCTCGAGCAACCCTCCCTCGCTGCGCTGCGGAAGTTCTTACCTCCCATTTACGCCGTCGGCCCGTTCTCCATCCTCTCCGACAGGTTGGTCCCCGCCGACAGCCCGCTTGCCGCTGTCAGCACCAGTCTGTGGAAGAGCGACGCCTCTTGTCTGCAATGGCTCCGTGGCAAGAAGCCGAATTCGGTAACGTTTTATTACTTCTCTCTCTATGTCTATTTATGAAGCACATATTACGTCAGGATTACGAACGTAGAGGTACGTTGGGATTCCAATAGTCGCTGTGTTATAAAATATTCTGCTGTGTTACAAGAATATTCCATCAATGATATTTGTAAAAAATGAAGTATTATTCGAGTATTGTGTGATGTTATTCAATTACTTTTCGGTGTTATTGGAATATTCCCCCGCGTTACTTGATTTGTGACTGTGTTATTCAGCATATTCTCTGTGTTATTTCAAATTCCACTATATTTTTGGAATAACACAACCCCAAATCAAGTAACACATGGGAATATTCCAATAACACCATTTTTCACAAATAAAGCTAATGAAATATTCCTATAACACAACAACTATTGCAATCAGAATGTAGCTCTGCGTTTGGAGTCCTAACGTAATATGTTTTCCTTAAATGTATGTTGTACGAACACTTCTGATTAAGTTGGACAGGTGGTGTTCGTGAGCTTTGGAAGCATAACGGTGGTGACAGCAGAGGAGCTGAGGGAGTTTGCATGGGGGCTGGGGAACAGTGGGTATGACTTTGTTTGGGTGATTAGACCTGATTTCATTAAAGGAGAAGCCATTGTTCTGCCGCCAGAGTTCATTGAGGAAACGAAGGAGAGGGGAATGATGGTAAGCTGGTGCGCGCAGGAGGAGATTCTCAGACAGCCATCGATAGGAGTCTTTCTGACTCATTGTGGATGGAACTCCATGACAGAAAGCTTGTGCGGTGGCGTTCCAATGATCTGTTGGCCATTTTTCTCAGAGCAGTTGACGAATTGTAGGTATGCGTGTGATGAGTGGGGGGTGGGGATTGAGTTGGGTGGGGAGGTGAAGAGGGAGGTGGTGGAGGGAGTGATAAGGGAGATGATGGGGGGTGAGAGAGGGAGGGAGATGAAGAGGAGAGCTGAGGAGTGGAAGGAGAAGGCGATTAGGGCTACTGAGCCAGGGGGAAGGTCAGCTGTCAACTTGGACAAGGTGGTTGATGAGATTCTTGTGAGGAAGAATTAAGAGGTAGTTGACTTGAAGAAGAAGTTGATGATGGAGTGAAGAAGTGGTAGGTTGAGATGCTCATTCGAGTACCCCTTTAATCTTTTTTTTTTCTGGTTATTGGAAATAATGATTTTTAGTCTGGTTAATTGGAAGTTGTTGAAGAGAAAAATGCATTTATTTTAATTTTTTTTTGAATTGCAATAGTCATTTTTCAGTTTTCCATGAGTGATTTGTTTACATATCATTAGATTCATATGTATTTAGACATCTAAGGACTAACTGCAAAAAGACAAACGGTTCACCAAGTGACAAGCACAGTACATTGCCTCAACCCAATAGATAATATCAAACTCAACATTGAATAACATACACCAAGCTTTCTTTACCTATGCTTGGTTCATTCTCTTTACCACCTCATTCTACTGTATTATTTTATGAAAAGTGAAGTGGTGCTCTATCTCAGCTCTCTAACACTATTGTAAGAACGAAGCTGCTGGGTATTTGCTTTTATTATCTGATCTAATAAACCAAGTATTTTTATTAGTCTTAATCTTAGTCTACTTCTCAAAGTCATGAAATTCTCCAACACCTGCTTCTTGAGTTTCATGGTGTACACACAAACATCTCTAAAGTAACAACGATAAAAGAGAAAAAATATCTTCACTCAACAAATGATGTTGCCTTTATCGGGCCTCAAATATCTATGTGAAGATTCTCTAAAATGCCATTTATACGCTGGATTACAATGCAAAAAGATATCTGTGTCTTCTTGTAAAACACACAATATTCACATAAGTTGTGCTTGCTTCTTTGATCAATCATTGATTCACAAAAGCATGCAGTGAAGTCTCTCTAGCATGGTTAGTCACATATACCATAATGTTGTGACATTAGATGAATCGTCAACAACAATATCAGTTACATTCACTGTATTATACTGAAGAAAGTAAATGTTGTGATGGTGAACCCCCTTTAAAAACCAGTGCTCTATGAAATATCTTTAGAACTCCTGCCTCAATAACTACCTTGTAGCCTTTAGCCTCATGGACCCAACTACCAACAAATTCTTCTTAATATCTAGAATATGTCTAATATCAGTCAGCTCCCTCATATTACCATTATACATCCTCATAAAGCCACTCCCTACACCAATAGTATGATAAACTTGATCATTGCTCATAGTCATCACATTGATATCAAGCTTCTTTTTCGTATAAAATCACTCTTGATAGAGATAAATATGATAGAGAACACATATTTAGAACCAACGAGAATAATCTATATACAAATTATGAGAAACAACGATAGTGGCACATCTGAATCCGTCTCATCATGCCTCTCTACAATAAGATTAGCTTTGGCTTTAGAGAAAACTTTATTTCAATTCTCTTCAACTTCAGACAATCTTTCTTCTAATGAACAATCTCTAAATAAAAATCACACTAATTTTTTTCTAAGACTGCACCCACGGGACTTATCATTTCTCGCTTTTGAGAAGTATCGCCGCTGCCACATGCCCTTTTTTCCCTAAATATTCTTCTTCTCAGATCATCTATGTTGGAATGTAAGTTCCTCAGCTAACTCCATCTCATTGGACTCCCTGTCCTTTTGACGAAACTCTTGATTCAATAACTTCAAAGTCACGTCGTCATAATTCAAGATCTTCTTTCGATGAATGAGTGTTACTATGAAGTTTTCAAACTCATTCGAGAGTAAATTCAATAGAAGAAGTGTTTTTTTCTTCTTCTCCAACCTTTTCATCCAGATTTAATATATTCACCAAAAACTTTATAAAATCATTCAAGTGCTCATCAATTGTAACATCACTTCTTATCTAAAATGAGTAGAGTCAATTCTTCATATAGAGATGATACTACATGCTCTTCATGAGATATTTGTTTTCCGTCGTTCTTCACAATTTTCTTGCAGAAGTCCCGAACATCACCTCATATTTGATCTCCTGAGATAAACAATTTCATATCCACCCACAAGCACTCTAGTTCATCTTCAACAAATCTTTTTATATCATCTCTTAAGAGTGTTCATCAATATAAAGAATTTCCTCCATATTCAAATAGCACAACACATCAATTACTTCGCATCATCACATGCCAAAGTCCCCTTTATCATCAACTCTCACCACATTGATCTCGATGGGATGTGTGACCACCTAATAAATCAACATATTTTTCTACTGTCGTGGTGAATTTCGAAGTATCTAACAAATTGTTATTATCCATGGCTCCACCAGATCTCGTAACCTAACTCTCTCTAACCTCTTTTCCTTGTGTCTTTGACTTCGTCGTAATCACACCAATTAAACTCTGATACTAAATTATTGTACAAAATAATGTTGAAAATAAAATCACATAACCAAAAACAATCAAACACGATACGATTTACGTGGTTCGGCTTAAATCTGTCTACCTCCATGACGAGAGTTATTCCACCATCAACGAGTAGAGAAAGTGGAAGAAATTGCTGAAATTGGGTTACAACTTCGCGCACAAAAATCAGCCCTAATCTCTTTTTATAAACAACATATAAACAACAAAGGATTAAGACAAATAAATTATAAATCTTCATAATATAAAAAATATCATGTAATTAGACCTCCACTAACTATATTATTTAATAACACTCTTCCTAATATATACATTTCCCAATGTATTATAATCATTAAATTTAATATTTTTCATAACATTTATCATGCGCCGCTTTCCTCAATAACTACTAATAAGATATTCTGAATAAGTTGCCTCAAACAGTAAGTCAGCTTATTCTGATAATCTGCAGATTATCAGAATAAGCTGACTTACTGTTTGAGGCAACTTATTCAGAATATCTTATTAGTAGTTATTGCTGTATAAATGATATTCATGCATCTGTCTGGTAAAACTGTTTGAAACAGAATTACAATGAGAACATAAACATGTAAACGAGAGATTTATGTAGTTTGGCTAATGACCTACATCCACAGAAGGCAATCCACGAAAATTTTTTTTATTAAGCAAATAAGCAAATCTGTAAGATTACATAGCTATGAACCTTAATTGAAGTTTACTACAACATGCTCTCAACTAAACAAGCTCCATACATAGCACTAAAATTCTTCCATCCTTTCAAAAAAAAAAGAAACCGAAAATAGATTAATCTAGTACTCAAAATGCAGCAATTACAATTGCAGAATATCGAATGCAACCCAGTAAATGCAGCCAATCAAATTACTCCCTGACAATTCAAAAAAAAAAAATGAAACAACTGCATCTAGAACTCCCTGGCCAAATCTATTTAGCCATTCAATTAACACCGTCCAACTGAAGAGAGATTTGAATAACAAAAAAATATCAAATGGCATCAAAAAGTGCTCTTAAAACTTCATGCATAATCATCATTAAGACTAAAAAAAAATTGTATATATCAAACACCTTCTTTTTCTGTAAAGTCAAACCATTAGAAAACAAGTTCTCTAAACTCAAGCAAGCTTAGCTAAACCTCAAACTGAATTTTGTTCAATAATCAAGTTGTGCTCTATAACTACTAATAAAATCTGCCTTTCAGATGATTGAAGCAAATTAAGCCCCTTTTGTTCTTTATGGTCACAAGGGAAATGAAACTTATGTACTCTATATATGAGCTCTTTGATAGCTGTTTTTCAACCGTAAAATGATAAAGAAACATAGCTGACAAAAATAAACCCCAACATCTCTTTTACGGTTGTTTTTAAAAAACTTGTGCATATTTCTCGAATCAGAAAAAAAAAACAACTCTAACAGAAAAAAAAAGAACCCTAAAACAACTCCAAATATCCTACCAACTCCATGTTGCATCAACCAACTCCAAATATTTTCGTAGAATGAAACTCATGTTGCAGAACAATCTCTTTGCTGCTCCCTTCCCGCATCTTGCATGTAACAGGTGATATACATGGCAGATTTTAGCTAATACCAGCTTTACCACCCCATTATAGCAGAGTTTAGCTCATACATTAACATTTAGCTCATATCAAGTGCACTTCAATAGAGAATGGGGGAGGAGGAAGAAAACATACCTCATTTGAGGCAAGAAGGAGCAGAAGAATTATCGGGATGGGCGAGATTGGGGATTTTCGTCACAAAATTTTACCTTGGTGTCGATCTCGACAAGGGTGAGGAAGAAGAAGGAAGATCGGAAAGGCTAGAGCGGGGGAGAGCAGAGAAGGACACAACAGGAATGTTCACCCTAACGCGCTACGCATACATGGGAAGCGGAACTCCGCCTGCTGCGCAGACTATTAATAAAATCCCCCTCAGCGTTTCGGAGCGGCATGAATAATCTTACCCAATGCTTTTTTCAAATGCTACAGCGGCGTTTTCAAAACGCTGACGCAACTCAATACACTGCACCAAACGGGCCCTTAGACTTTTTACTGCGCTGATTTGTGGTTAGTTTGCCACATTTTCCCAAAATTCAAAACTCCTCTTAATGTGATAATATTAATATATAACACTTAAAATTTGTTTTTTATATTTATAACATCCAAATCTTTCATATAAAAATATCACCATTTTAGCATTTAAAAAATAAAATATAGATTTTCATACATAAATAAAATGACAAATATACATAGGTATATGTATATGTAAATGAGGATTTACATACATACCGCTAAATCATGATGTATTTATGAATATTAATGAATCCTGATTTGACTAAGATTAAACCCCAAGGGTTTGAGCTTAAGAAAGGAGAGAGAGACATGTAAACAAATGCACAATAAATGAATAGTAAAAACTCTTGTCTATAAATTAATCATTTCATATAAAAGAATAGAATAGAAGGTAAAATATGTCATCTTATATTTTCACATCTACTTTAATAGAGGGTAATGCCTGTTCGGTCGGCTTGATGAGTCGACGCAGCCGGCAGATGAATTTGATTAGTTTTGAGCCGGCAGGACTCACTCGGTCTGCTGGACCTTGACGATTGGTTAATCTAGTTTGACTATCTACTTCTAATCCCTATACTAGTTGCTTCGGTCAACATTGAGAGTAGGTTATCGAACAAAGGGTGAATCACCATAACTCGATAGACTACATTGTATTACC